CTCAAAGTGCTGGGAGTACAAGTGTGAGCCACTGCAATATGGCTGTTTTTATGGACACCACTCTGCAGCACATTCTCAAGACAGGTTCTTTCTTTCTTTATTTTTTTTGAGATGGAGTTTCGCTCTTGTTACCCAGGCTGGAGTGCAATGGTGCAATCTCGGCTCACCGCAACCTCCGCCTCCTGGGTTCAGGCAATTCTCCTGCCTCAGCCTCCCGAGTAGCTGGGTTTACAGGCGGGCGCCACAACGCCCAGCTGATTTTTTGTATTTCTTAGTAGAGACGGGGTTTCACCATGTTGACCAGGATGGTCTCGATCTCTTGACCTCGTGATCCACCCACCTCGGCCTCCCAAAGTGCTGGGATTACAGGCTTGAGCCACCGTGCCCGGCCCAAGACAGGTTCTTTATGAAAATGAACATCTGGTCAGAAGTGCCTGCCCCCTGTTGTTGCAGTAAAGCCCCCAGTCCCAGGAGCAGTTTATGAGCTCTCCCTGACCTCTCTTTGACAATGCCCCACCCTCCCCTCTCTTTCATACCCTGTTGAAACTGGGCTGCTCTCAGATGCTTGAACACAGCACACTCATCCAATTCCGAGTCTTCGTAAATGTTCTTTCTTGTTTTCTCACATCCCTTTTGTTCCCTTCCCTTCACTCACCAATTTTGAGTCATCCTTCTCTCCTCAAACAAAACACTCCCTGACCCTCCAAACTAAGCTGGAACACTCATTTTCTTTTTTTTTTTTTTTTAATTTTTTATTGGATTATAGGTTTTGGGGTACATGAGCAGAGCATGCAAGACAGTTGCGTAGGTACACACATGGCAGTGTGCTTTCTTTTCTTCTCCCCTTCACCCACATTTGGCATTTCTCCCCAGGCTATCCCTCCCCACCTCCCCCTCCCACTGGCCCTCCCCTTTTCCCCCCAATAGACCCCACTGTTTAGTACTCCCCTTTCTGTGTCCATGTGTTCTCATTTTTCATCACCCACCTATGAGTGAGAATATGCGGTGTTTCATTTTCTGTTCTTGTGTCAGTTTGCTGAGGATGATGTTCTCCAGATTCATCCATGTCCCTACAAACGACACAAACTCATCATTTCTGATTGCTGCATAATATTCCATGGTGTATATGTGCCACATTTTTCCAATCCAGTCTATTATCAATGGGCATTTGGGTTGATTCCAGGTCTTTGCTATTGTAAACAGTGCTGCAATGAACATTCGTGTACATGTGTCCTTATAGTAGAACGATTTATAGTCTTTTGGATATATACCCAGTAATGGGATTGCTGGGTCAAATGGAATTTCTATTTCTAAGGCCTTGAGGAATCGCCACACTGTCTTCCACAATGGTTGAACTAATTTACACTCCCACCAACAGTGTAAAAGTGTTCCTTTTTCTCCACATCCTCTCCAGCATCTGTTGTCTCCAGATTTTTTAATGATCGCCATTCTAACTGGCGTGAGATGGTATCTCAATGTGGTTTTGATTTGCATCTCTCTGATGATCAGTGACGATGAGCATTTTTTCATATGATTGTTGGCCTCATATATGTCTTCTTTTGTAAAGTATCTGTTCATATCCTTTGCCCACTTTTTAATGGGCTTGTTTGTTTTTTTCCTGTAAATCTGTTTGAGTTCTTTGTAAATTCTGGATATCAGCCCTTTGTCAGATGGGTAAACTGCAAAAATTTTTTCCCATTCTGTTGGTTGCCGATCCACTCTAGTGACTGTTTCTTTTGCCGTGCAGAAGCTGTGGAGTTTCATTAGGTCCCATTTGTCTATTTTGGCTTTTGTTGCCAATGCTTTTGGTGTTTTGTTCATGAAGTCCTTGCCTACTCCTATGTCCTGGATAGTTTTGCCTAGATTTTCTTCTAGGGTTTTTATGGTGCCAGGTCTTATGTTTAAGTCTTTAATCCATCTGGAGTTAATTTTAGTGTAAGGTGTCAGGAAGGGGTCCAATTTCTGCTTTCTGCACATGGCTAGCCAGTTTTCCCAACACCATTTGTTAAACATGGAATCCTTTCCCCATTGCTTGTTTTTGTCAGGTTTATCAAATATTGTATAGTTGTATGTATGTTGTGTTGCCTCCGGTGCCTCTGTTTTGTTCCATTGGTCTATATCTCTGTTTTGGTACCAGTACCATGCTGTTTTGATTACTGTAGCCTTGTAGTATAGTTTGAAATCCGGTAGTGTGATGCCCCCCGCTGTGTTCTTTTTGCTTAGAATTGACTTGGCTATGCGGGCTCTCTTTTGGTTCCATATGAAGTTCATGATGGTTTTTTCCAGTTCTGTGAAGAAAGTCAATGGTAGCTTGATGGGGATAGCGTTGATTCTGTAAATTACTTTGGGCAGTATAGCCATTTTCACGATATTAATTCTTCCTAACCATGAACATGGAATGTTTCTCCATCTGTTTGTGTCCTCTCTGATTTCGTTGAGCAGTGGTTTGTAGTTCTCCTTGAAGAGGTCCCTTACGTTCCTTGTGAGTTGTATTCCAAGGTATTTTATTCTTTTTGTAGCAATTGCGAATGGCAGTTCGCTCTTGATTTGGCTTTCTTTAAGTCTGTTATTGGTGTGGACGAATGCTTGTGATTTTTGCACATTGATTTTATATCCTGAGACTTTGCTGAAGTTGTTTATCAGTTTCAGGAGTTTTTGGGCTGAGGCAATGGGGTCTTCTAGGTATACTATCATGTCGTCTGCAAATAGAGACAGTTTGGCTTCCACCTTTCCTATTTGAATACCCTTTATTTCTTTTTCTTGCCTGATTGCTCTGGCTAGAACTTCCAGTACTATATTGAATAGGAGTGGTGAAAGAGGGCATCCTTGTCTAGTGCCAGATTTCAAAGGGAATGCTTCCAGTTTTTGCCCATTCAGTGGAACACTCATTTTCTACTCGTCGATGAATTCATTTACTTATTCATTCAATACATATTTACTGAGTACCACCCGTGTGCAAGGAGCTCACAGCCTAGTGGGGAAACAAAGACTGAACAGCTAATTCTGAAAATGACCACATTAATGTGTCTTGCGGTGACATTACCTAGAATAACACAAACTCACAAAGATAGGAGTTGGCATTGGCTCTCATCCTGGGTGGTTGGCTCGGCCTAGTCACTTCATGGGCTCGGGACAATGCAACATGTGTTCTTCACAAATGAACCTTTTGGGCCCGGCACAGGGCATCATGGCAGGATGGTACTGTGCTACCACCCGCAGCAGGAGTTTTGGAGAAAAAACGAAAGAGAAGTGCGTATGTCATTGTGGACAGAAAGCACTCCTTCAAGCCCCTTGTTGAAGGCCTGTTGTCCCGACTATGGCATTATTTAGGTAGTGCTTCATGAAATCTGCTTCATGAAAATGTATGCTCAGGGCTGAAGATGCTGAAATGAAAAGAGGAACTTCCGCACTCGTAGCGCTTACATTCTGGAGGGAGGGAGAGAAAAAAATATGCAATACAATGAATGAACAAAGGCATATTAAAAGAAAATAATTATTCCTCAGATGACAACATGTTTTGCAATTTATTTTTAACTTCTCTAGCCAACCAGAGGATTTTGTAATGCAGACTAGTGTTTGCCCCTGTGATGCAATCTCAGCAACCTTCCTGGACCTGCTGCAGACATGCCTTAGAGTCGTCTTCCCAGGCAAGTTACAGCCTTCCTGCCTGTTTCACAGGTTACGTCTCGTGTTCATCTCCCTAAAAAGTTTTATTTGTGCTCCTTTAGAAAAGTGTGACCATGTCTATTCTGGCATGCTTCACAGTGCTAGGCACACAGTAGGCCAACAAACAGCACTTCTGTGAGGCCGGGAGTTCCTCCAGAGCAGGGCCCATGGCTTGTTTCTAGATCTCCAGCCCTTAGGGCCAGGCCTAGCTAGGTAGAGAGGATCTGACTTAAGAGAGGAATCAAGGAATTGCTCCTTCTCATAATCCACCAGCTTTTATCACATGTGCATTGATTGAATGCTTTTGAATACAGGTAATATTTTAACCTAAATAGTAACAACCCCTTATACACACAAGGTCTTTATAGCTTGCACTTTATCTCCCAGTAATAAAGCCTGATGAAAATCTGGTAGATAAAATGGTCCTTATTTTATATGTGGAGAAACTGGGCTTAGAGAGGTTGAGAGGCTTCACCAATGACACATGGCTATGAAATATCAGAATGAGGTCAAAACAAGATTTCCTGGTCCAAGGTTCCTGACACCAAAATTCCCCAGATGTAACTCTGGCCTTCTGTGGTTTCTACCCTTGGGTCAGTCAACTCCGAACTGCAGCAGTGGTCAGATGAGGTGGAAGGGAGAGAATCGTGGCCAGTTCCCTGGTTCCTCTGCTTTCCCTGCACCTCCCAGCCTGTTGATCCAGCTCTGTGTTCACCATGTGCCCTGGACAGGTTGAGGAGGAGTCCAGGAATGAGGATGCTTTGGTGGAGCTTGGCAGTCCTGTCAGAACTCCAGACACCAGGGAGGGATGAGCAGCTTGGTTTCTGTGGCAACCTGCCCACCCAGGTCCCTGCAGCTGCAGCCCCTGTGGGCCCTGAGGTGGGGGCTGTGGGTACCCTGCTGGGCCCTGGGGCTGCAGTAGGCGGGAAGGAGTGCAGACCTGAGGTAGGCTGCTCACTCAGAGTTGGAGCTTTGCTTGACACGGTTCCCATGGGGACGGCTGTGGGCACACGCTACCTGTGGTCAGATGCCCACATTAAACCTGCCCTGTAGTTCTGGTAGCTCCTCTTGGGCTCAGGGCCTTTAGAAGAAAGACTGAGTTTTTGGTGCCTTAGCCTCTCAAACCTTCCCCACCCCAACCAAAGGTAGATTTGAGAACTTGGGGCTGTGATGTTTGTTTCATGAATAGAGCATTCCCTCTGTGCCTGTGCCTAGAGACACTAAGATGACTGAAATGCAGTCACCATCCTTAGGGAGGGGCAAGAAAGACAGGCCATAGAGCTGAAAATTACAACACAGTGCAGCCTGGCAACAGTGGAACCCAGTTCACTTGTGGAGAACACACATGCTGCAGTATCACGAGGCCCATGAAGTGACTAGGCTGAGCCAACCACCCAGGATGAGAGCCAATGCCAACTCCTGTCTGTGTGAGTTTGTGTTATTCTAGGTAATGTCACCGCAAGACACATTAACGTGGTCATTTTCAGAATTAGCTGTTCAGTCTTTGTTTCCCCACTAGGCTGTGAGCTCCTTGCACATGGTCAGTGCTGAGATCCATCAGCTCTGGGAAAATTTCAGAGTAGGAGGGAGCAGCACTCCACGCAGAGGAAGGGGTTCCTGAAAACACTGGATGCAAGAACATTCCCCATGAAGTCACAGCGTGTGAGGTGAAGTGGAAAGGGAGGAAGGGAAGCACAGCTGGGGGATGGACAGGAGAGCCAAGCTACGGAAATTGTGAAGCCTGGGTTGTATCCATAGGGAAATATGGGAATCATTCTATTCGGGAAGGCAGCAGTGAGGCTTGAATCATGATTTAGAAAGGTCTTTGTGGATGCCATCAGAGGACTGATTTAAGGGGGAAAAGGCATAGTGGCAAAGGTTCCTGAGACTCTTCAGGGTCTTGAATAACCATTGTTCTAAAAGAAAGTATAATACCATACTTGTTTGGAAGCCTGGTGTTCTGTAGGCATGAGATTCATTGAACCACCTCCCACCTCAAACTCCAGAGACAGGAAAGTTCCTGGAATGAAAGAGGGACACTCCACATAGGGGTCATGAAGTCATTTGGGAGGAAAGGGTTTAACAGAGTTATAACACAGCAAATTGATACCTTGACCCTGGGGTTCCAAATCACCATCACATGCAGTGAGTCATCAAGATTTGTGAACTTTGTAGAGCACGTGGCTCTGGGGAAGAGGGTCACCCTCACAGTGAACAGAACAGAGCTTGAAGTCATGCCAACCTGAATACTAAAAGAGCTGTGATTTTGTTTTGTGCCCTAGCTCCTAGTTCAGGTAGGATTGGATGGGGGTGGTGCTGGTGAGAGCGAAGCACTGTTGCTCACATTATCTTCAAAATGGATTCACATTCATTAAAATGACAATTCTTTTACAGTCATAATTGATACCTGTTTTCATAATTTCAAAGTAAGAAAAAAATAGCTGGAAGAAAAGACGCTTAAATCAGCAGAGGCAGTGAAATCTGTAGGCACAGTTCTTAGACAATAGCGTTTCATTTCACTGAGTGATGTTCAAAGTAAAATGTCTTGACTGATGTGGATTCAGCACAAGCTGGACAGAAAGGGTTTTAGAAGAGAAAACATTTGAGACCTCAAACCTCTTAGCCCTCAGCTGGAGGAAAAACTCAGAGATGGGCTGAAAGAAGTGGGGTGTGTTCCAAGAGCTATGCCATGCCCAGGAGAATCAGGAGCTCGGAATTAATCTAAATGGACAGAGGAAATACGGAATGGATGTTAATGGATATTTCAATTCAAGATGAAATATGAGACTGAGGAGCATTTCAATATAATATATATTTAATTGAAATGAACTACACATCTTAAATCAAAAATGATGTTAGCATTTCCATGCAGAGTGAGAATTTCTCTGTGACCTTTATTTTCTCTCTCTCTAATGCTTATTTGGGGAGAAAACTGTTAGTCAAATATTCGCTAGATGAATGAATGAATGAATGAATGAATGAAGTTGAAATTGGCAGAGGAGGGTTTCAAAAATGTACTTTTAATAATGCAGTTAATTTCCTCTGCTTTCCAGGTTTTCTACAGTGAAAGATAATTACTTTGATTAATAGAATAAGATGAAAAATTGGGTGGGGGACTGGTTAGGAGCCTGTTCTCTTGGAGGAGTTTCCTGAGGGGAGCGCCAAGGTGCCGTGTTCCCCTGAGCCAGAGATAGTACTCTCCTAACCCTTGAATCAACCACCAGCTGAGAGATGAAGGCAGGTGCTGGCCACAAGGCTGGGGCAGTGAACCAGCTGGGAATGTCTTTCTCTGTATCAGAAGTTGTATGTGGAGCTGGCATTCCAGGGGAGGACACTCAGATGGCCTCTCCCCCAGAGAGCTCACAGTTTGGCTGGGAAGGCTCATGCACCTGACCCCTGTAACTCCAGAAGAATTGTCTGTGACTATGGCCAATGAAGAACAGAGTGCAGGAGGGGAGCTGGCAGCTATGTGGGAAAGATGTCTTTCGAGAAGCCACTGTGGTGACATAAAGTGTGCACCTGCCCATGACCTTTGTCACCGTCAGAGGCGACTGCACACAGCAAACATCTATGCTGTCCCCAGGTGCACTTCCTGGCATTCAGAGCAGAACGTCCATCCAGGGCACTTCCTGGAGGGGGTTCAGGGTGGGCTGGAACTTTCTTGGAAGGGACATGGTTGCATCTGGACTCCTTGGGGTTTGGAGGGTAGGGAGGGGAGATAGGGAGACCTGGACATGAATGCCTGTCAAACTTCGGAAATTGCCTGGGGTGATCCTAAACTGCATATTCCAGCCAGAGTCCCATTCCTAAGATCTTTCTTTTTGCTTTTTTTTTTTTTAGCAAGTTTCAAGTTGATTCCAAGAATCTGCATTTATTACAAGCGCTCTGGGTGCTTCTGATGCAGAGCCTGAGCATTGCGGTTTGGGTGCTGTATTGGTCAAGCTGGGCTGCTGTAACAAAACCCCACAGACTGCAGAGGAGAGAGCTCTCTCTTCCTCTTCTACAGTAACCAATCCTGTCGGATTAGGGCCTCAACCTTAAGACCTCATTTAACCCTAACTACCTCCTGAAGGCCTCACCTCCAAGTCCTATTACACTGGGGTTTAGGCTTCCATCTGTGAATTTTGGCAGGATGTGATTCAGTCCTCAGTGGTACCACTCCTTCAGGAGCATGGGGCCTGCACACCTGGCTGAAGGTGGTGGGGGATGTTCAGTGATCGGGGCCAAAACCCTGGTGAAGGCTCTTGTGCCAGCAGATGACTCGATGTCCATGCTGTCACCCTGCTTCAGATCATCTGAAGATCTGTGTGTAGCAAGTAGGAATTTTACTTCACCAAAATGCTCTGGTGCTAGAATTAGGTGCATACTGTATCTGGCATTTCTCCCCACGTTATCCCTCCCCACTCCCTGCTGTCTCTACCCTACCCGCTGCCAACTGTCCCCTGTGTGTGATGCTCCTCTCCCTGAGTCCACATGTTCTCATTGTTCAACACACACCTATGAGTGAGAACATGTGGTGTTTGATTTTCTGTTCTTGTGTCAGTTTGCTGAGAACAATGGTTTCCAGACTCATCCAAGTCCCGACAAAGGACACGAACTCATCGTTTTTTTATGGCTGCATAGTATTCCATGGTGTGTATGTGCCACATTGTCCCTGTCCAGTCTATCATTGATGGGCATTTGGGTTGGTTCCAGGTCTTTGCTATTGTACACAGGGCTGCAAGGGACATACATGTGCATGTGTCCTTATAGTAGAGAAATGCTACATTATTTCTATAAAATTAAACTAAATGGCTCTCTGAGCCCTCATTCCTCCAGGGAATGAGAACACCCCACTCATCTCTGGAGCTCTTTCTCTCTCTACCTCCTCTCAGGAGCAAATGAAGCTCTCCAGGCCAACCTTACCAGTTCTGAAACACTTGGGAAAGGTGCTCTGGCCTTGAACCTCCCCCCACCCCGCCTTCACCGTGGCCATGCCCATCGTCCAGGCCTGCATGGTTTCTTGAAGGCAGTAGGTTATTGCTTGACAAGACATCTTTTTTTCAGGGCCAGGACACCTGGGGCCTACAGTCCGGCTTCCCTTTTATATCAAGAGGCCACGTTGCTCTGGTTCTGCAATTTTCCTTGAACTTTCCCACTACACCTAGCTCAGATTTCTCCCCAGCCAAATTTGACAGGATGCACAAAAGATTTAGGTCTCTGCCCTTTCTTGTTCCAGGCAATGCCCACTTCATCCTTGGACCCAGACAGTTCGTCCTGGCCCACTCCACACCTTCCTGCTCCAGGAGCATCCACACAATCTGTGTCCAGTAGGCCTATGACATGGCAATACTGTCCCTCCCTGGGGATGGGATTAGGGAAGAATAGAGTGTTAAAGCTGATATTTTGGTGCCTCCTGAAGCTTCAGGATCACTGCTCCTTGGAATTTGGTGGTCTACCCTGATCAAATCCCTGCAGTGTTTTGGTCTTAGGGACTTAGTGTGTGGTATGTGGTATCACTCAGCCCTAGAAGGCAGGAAAGAGCCAGCGGGCATATTTCTTAACCATCTGCAAAGTAACACGGCCAAAAGAGATCCAGAGTGTCTCCACAGGGTGAGCAGGTCAAGGAATGTCAGTACCGTGAGAGACCACAGAGCTCATCTCATTGGCCTCCTTGTTTCACAGATGAAAGCAGAAAGGTCAGAACCAGAGGGTCAGAACCAGAGGGTCACAAAGCGGAAAGGACTGGCCCAAGGTCACACAGGAAATCCATGCCAGGGCAGGAACAGATCCTCAGACCTGGGCCTCCCATTCTGGCGCTGTTCTTCTCATTCTCCCCTGGGGTAGTCTGGTCCCTCTGCTTTAACCAAATCTTGTAATTTATTTGGTTTTGCTAACCTTAAAAATTATCATACATCATAAAACCCACATTACATCTGGAACATCTAGAAACCCTACGAAAACACACAGACACACAGAAACACACACACACACACACACACACACACACACACCCGCCCGCCCACCACCACCACTCCAGGGTAACTGCTGCTAACCTTGTGGGGCATGTTCTTCCAGGACATGGAGGGAAAGAAACCCAACTTGGAGCTCCGGCATGCATCCTGGGGAAGCAGCTTTCACACCTCCCTGCCTGAGCATTCTCCCACCGAGCTTGGAATGGTAATGGGTGTCCACAAAGGGAATGCTGGCAGAACACAGAGTGGAGGGAGAAGATCCAGAGACTACGTCAGCAGCACTAAACCTACTATGCTCTGGGGAGAGTCCATAAACCATTAAGAAATACACTTAGTGTGTTTTTCTGAGACACAGGAGCGGTGCATCCTGACCTGGGCATGCTGCAGCACAGGCAGAGAGGGCAGGGCATCTGGGTGTGATGCTGGGTTCCTTCATCAGCAATGGCCTTCTGCAGTCAGCTGTTCTGGGCTATGGAGGGAGGGTGGTGCCACAAAGGATGGTGAGAGCCAGGGAGAATTGCACGAACACTAAGAATGATGCCAGCTGATGCTTGTTCTTGTCACACACAAAGAGCCTTATAGGATTATCTTATTAATTCCCAGAATGAAGTGCCAGTGAGGGTGGCTGGGCTGGGGTGCAGAAGAGGGGCTCAATGTGTGACGTGTTGGGGGCTGAAACTGACAGTGTTCACCCATAGATCAGTGGGTAGCAGGGGGAGAGGGGCAATGGTGGTTCCCAGGTTCTGCCGATAAAATTTACTGAATGAGTTCCAGGCCTTCCCCTGAATTTACCTGTAACACATGCCATCAGCTGGGAACCACTCTGGCAAACAGAAAGTATGTCTGTGTCCTGCAAGCCACAGCTCTGAAGTCAGAGGGGGAGGAGAGCGAGAAGGAGTCTGTTCTCAGGAACCCTTTCCTGCTTGATTCTGGCCCCTAAGCCACATTCTCCCCTCCCCATCTTCTTGATCCGGGTTGGTGGCAGAAGGGGCAGCTACCAGGAGTTCAGGGTGGACCAGTCAGCTCTCAAAAGAGAGAGGGGAAGAAAGGCTCACTTCCTCCAGTTCTTTCTCTGGGAGCAAGTCCTAGGCTGAGCACAGACAGGCCTCAAACAGGCAGACCTCAGAGGCAGCTGCTGCCCTCCTTGCCTTGCAGAGTCCTGACTCATTTATCTGGATAAGTGGAGGTTTGCTGTAATTATCCGTAGGACTTCTCTTCCTCTCACAACTGCACACCCAGCACCAGGAAGGATACTTCAATCCCACATGAGCAGTCCTCTGCAAAGCAGTGCCTGGGGCTGGCAGCTGGACCCCTTAGCATAGAGGTGTAGAGAAGGGATCCCAATGAGGATGGGACCAGCAGATGGACTCCATGAGGGAGGGACAGACATGGACCCAATGGCCGGCAGCACACCTGACCCCCTGACCTGTAAGCCCTCACTGAGTTCTCCCTGAAGCCCTGGGACATAAGTGGCTTTATCTTTCATATTTTAGGGCTGAGAAAACTGAGTCAGGGATGTACGTTTCAAGAGAAAGGTCAAGCAAGATGCTGAAGCAGCCAGTTCTCTGCAAACAGTTGGGTGTCCTGGAGAAATCCATTTAGAACTCACTGCTGGTAGGACGTCTGCCTACAGGCTTGCAGGGGCTGAGTCCTGGGGTGCAGACTCGCCTTTGGGGTTGCTCTTTGGCAGCATCTAAATGTCTTCCTGACAAAGGCATGGAACAACTCTCTTCAAGGAGTGAAACTGGGAGATCCTTGAGGGAACAGGGCTACTCTTATGTCATCTTCGTGTCCCCATCTTGGCTCATCAAAATTTAGTAAATATGCATACTATAAATATGCAATAAATAGTAATAGTAATCAATGCTAACTGAGCTGTGGCTCATTTAATGCTCACAGCCACCCTAAGAAGTAAGTCTTTTCATTACAGTCTCCATTTTTTTAGATAACTGGAGCCTGGAGAGATTGACGACTGGGTCCATGGTCACCCTGTTGCTATTTGGCAGAATGGCTGTGGGACCCAGGCAGCCTCTGTCTGCCATGTTTTCCATGCACAGACAGCCACAAAGAGTCCTTGGAATGAGGGTGCTGTAGGCCTGGAAGCAGGCCGCACACACCCACTCCTAGATACAGTGGCACTGTCTCTAGCTCATTGCACACAAATCTGTCCACTTTTGGTCATTTTAAATCCAATTTCCATTCCATTATTTCATTCTGGGAATGGAATACATAAATATATTGTTGTATCACTTTTCAGGGTTGATGACAGAATCAGTTAGAAATTCCCCACAACTGCTTGAAACAGAGATCCACAGAGGAGTCCCTTAAAGAAGACGTGGATCTCAGCCTGGCCAACATGGTGAAACGCTGTCTCTACTAAAAAAAAAAAAAAAAGCTAGGCATGGTGGCAGGCAACTGTAATCCCAGCTACTTCAGGAGGCTAAGGCAGGAGAATTGCTTGAACCCGGGAGGCAGAGGTTGTAGTGTGTTGAGATCGCGCCACTGCACTCCAGGCTGGATGACAAGAGTGAAATTGTCTCAAAAGAAAGAAAGAAAGAAAGAATATGTGGGTCTCTTTATTGTGACATAGTGTGATATGCAGAAGTTGGTGCTTCAGGGATGATGCCGCAGATCCATGATTCCATCTGCGCTCACGCTGTTTTCATCTTCCGACTCTGCCATCTTTAAGACATAGCTTCTATTCTTTAGAGTACCTCATAGACGCAAGATGGCTATTGGAGTCCCACCCTCACATCTGAATTCCAGGCAGCAAGAAGTAAGAGAAGGTGAAGGATACAAGAGCATATACCCACTGATTTTTCTTCTTCTTTGGCCAGAACTTAGTGAAATTCCATTCCTAGCTTCAAGGGAGAATAGAATTTTCAGTTATTAAAGCTGGGCACTTTGATGCCTCCAGGAAAATCAGATTTCTTTTAACAAGAAAAAGGGGGGAATGTATATGAAGCACACTCTCCGCCCTCTTTGCCACAGCTTTGCTTCGCCTTGGCCTGGCTTTGGTCTCTGTAGCCAAAGGCAACCCTGGGAAGCATTTCCACAGAAACTAAGCCGTAAGTGACGTCCGCTATCAGAAATCTTTAAAAAAAAGTCTGTCACTGTTCTAAACTTTTTCTCTTTCAACAGCAGTCTTAACCGCACAGCTCTTCTCTAGGCGACCTCAGGTAGGAAAGCAACTGGGCATGTGGGAAATAGATGCCTCTGGCTTGGCTGTGCCCTTTGATGGCTGTGAGCCTCAGGGAAGGGAAATGCATGTAACAGCCAGTCATAGAATATTGATGCTTCCTGATGTCACCAAGCCAATGCTCTTACTGCCTGTCTTAGTCTGCTTTGTGCCGCCATAACAGAATATCCAAGAGTGGGCAATTTATAAAGAACAAATGTATTTCACCGCAGCTCTGGAGGCTGGGAAATCCAAGATTAAGATGCTGTCATCTGGTGAGGGCTTTCTTTCTGTGTCATCGCATGGTGAAAAGGCAGAGAGAGAGAAAGGCCAAAGGGGGTTGAATTCACCCTTTTGTAAGGGCATTAATGTCACCTGTGAGGGCAGAGCCCTCGTGGCCTAACCACCTCTCAAAAGTATGCGTTTTAGTACTGTTACAGTGGCAACTAAATCTCAACACAAGCTTTGGAAGGGACAAACCATAGCATTGCCATTGTCTGGGACCTTATTACCCAAATGGAGTCCGTGTACCGACAGCATTGGCACCACCTGAGAGCTGCGACAAAATCAAGATTCTCGGCTCACCACAGATCTACTGAATCACACTCTGTTTTAACAAGATCCTGGGTGAATCATGTGCATGTTAAAGTTTGACTTCCCTAAAGAGCTGGGGCCTGTATCATAAGTGAGGTGACAGGAGGCTGGTGAGCCTACCTGAAACACTTCCTCCAGCCTGATTTAAGCATCAGGAGAAAGCCACACTCCTGCTCTGGGCTCAGTCTTTCCACCTGTAACATGAGGAGTCTGGCTCAGATTCCTGCTTCATAAATTGTAGTGTTGGACCCGCTTTCATCTCATCAGCTCTCAATGCTCTGTGTGCCCTGGAGTGAGAGAAATCAAAGTAACTTAGGCGACTGGTTCCAAGGTCCCAGACGGTGGTGTGAGTGATGGGAGACGGCTGATCCCTGCAGCTCTGTGACCTGGGCTGAGTGAAGGTAAGCTCTGGAAGGCTCAGTGCCTGGCAGACCACAGGGTCAGGGAGCAGCGAGTGTGGTGAGCTGAGCAGCCAGTACTGTCTGTGCCTGGGCTTGGACTGGAGTGGGGATCAGGCTTGGGGATTCCTCCTCTGGTACTTTGCTGGAGCTAGATGGGTACCTGAAGACAGAAGCAGGAGCTGCAGGCGGGGACCTGGGGATGGCTCTCGATGGTGCCTTCCATATTCCCTTCTCTCTCTCCAGGGTAGCTGGGCACACCTGAGGTGCATCAGTGAGCAGCGAGCACACCAGAGTCGACATCTCCTGCATTTTCAGCAGCAGAAGGGAGTGCAGCCTACTTCACCAGTCTGCTTGCCACCGAACACTTGGCTGTTAAAAAAGAGCCCTTTAAAACCGTTTGATGTTTTGGACTAAATAAAGCTATGCTCCCACTCCAATTGAGCTTATAATGGAGTCTAATTTTATAAAGGAGCCAATTAATGGCTTTGTAAATATAAATGAAAGGATCCCTGCCTTTTCTCTTGACCAAAAGGCCGCAGAAGTAAGTCCTGTAAAAATGTCAAATTTTGCTCTAAAGAATGGCAGGACTTCCTCAATGAGAATAACAGGAAATGACTCACAGAGGGCACCCTGAGGCCGCACAGCCATACAAAGGGCCCCCTGTGCAGTAGTGCCTGGCTGCTGGCCCTGGCCAACTGCAGAGAGGAAAGTGTCCCGCCCACGATGGGGGACGCTGCCCATCTCCTCTAGGCGGGGCTCCTCAGTGGGGCCCCAGGGACTGCTGGCATGCTGGCTTGTAGAGATGAACAATACCGTGAGGCTGAGAGCTGGAGAGAGTCAGGATTTGGTGCCTCAGGGAAAACTCATCTGGAAATAATGCTAAATTACTCACACAGAACTATCAGTCTAGGGACTGTTACCTGTACTGGTCTCTCTCTAGCTCTCATCTCCATCCCACTGGACGACTTAGGTAGGGTTCATTGCACAACAGGTGGAGTTCCGGAAGATGCCTCTCCTAATTTCTTGTGGACTAACTCAGGCCTGAATCTTTTATTCTGCCATCTAGCTCCGTGTCTGCCTTCCCTTTCCTTCTCTTCTTCCTTTTCTCCTCTAACCCTTTGGCTCTATTCCCTCCCGGGCCCCCGGCTCTGCCCTTTCCAAGACTCTCCTTGAGCATGGGGGCGCCTCCTTGGACCTCCCAGATCTTCAAGTGATGAGTCGGAAGACATTCAGAGGGAAGACACTGTGCAATCATAGCACTGTTAAAATGTTGAACTTTTTCTCTTGCACTGGTTAAGTGACAGCCATGGTGAGCCTCTATATGAATCAGAAAGCAGAGTCTGTCTCAGATGGTTCAGGAAACTTTAGTAAAGTGACTATTTCTAGAAGTATAGATGGAATTACATTAATTGTCTACTGCTACGTAACGAATCACCCCAATACATTACAGCTTAAAGCAACAACTATTTATTATCTCTCACAGTTTCCAAGAAGTGAGAATTTGAGAGTGGCTTAGCTGGGTGGTTCTGGCTCGGGGTCTCTCACAAGGCTGAAGTCCAGCCGTCTGCAGGGCTATGGACATCTCGAGTCTTCTCATGATGAGATGGGAACTGCAGGATCTGTTTCCAAGCTCACTTTGGGGAATGCTGACAAATTTCACTTCCTTGCTGGCTATTAGTTAGATTTCTTTCTTTCTTTCCTTCTTTCTTTCTTTCTCTCTCTCTCTCTCTCTCTCTCTCTCTCTCTCTCTCTCTCTCTCTCTCTCTCTCTCTCTTTCTTTCTTTCTTTTTTGCCATGGGGGCGTCTCCATAGGGCTACTCACAACCTGGTGGCCTGCCTTCCCCAGAGTGAATGATCCAAGAGAAAGCAAGCCAGAGGGTAGTCAAGACAGAAGTCTCAGTCTGACACCCCCATCACTATTGCTGTCTGCCTCAAACCAAGTCATACGAAACAAACCAGGGACAATGTGGGAGAGACTATTCAAGGGGATGAATAGCAGGAGGCAAAGACCCGCAGGGGCCATCCCGGAGACTGGCTACCCAGGAAGTAAGGATGTTAGGCACTCAGAGACTAGCAGTAGCTGGAGACCATTTCCATCCTTAGACAGGAAGGGGAATAGGGAAGACAGCGCTGCTAGAGCCCAGGAAAGCTGGAACAATGAAAAAAGAGTGCAGGACAGGATTTGTAGTGCTGGAGGAGCTGCCAAAAACACAGCCTGGAGCAGCGAGGAAGCAGGGAGGGAGCAGGGAGCAAGCAGGGAGCGAGCAGGGAGGAAGAACCCTGACTGCTTCTCTTGCTTCCCTTCCATTGACTGAACCCAAGCGGAAGTCAGGCAGCAAGGGAGCCCAATTGATGCAGCCTGAAAGAATCTGTCTCTCGGGACATAGGTCAAAGAAGAGAAAAACGGGTAATGGATCTGAGGTGGGAGTAAATGGGTTCCAAGCAGCACCCCTAAGTGTTCCCTGGCTGCCCAAGCTGCCCTGGCTCCTCTCCGGATGCCCCCACCCCCAATATGTCCTGGGATCCAACCTCTAAAGGGCCACACCCAGCTACATCTCTCATCCAGCCCCCCCTCCCAACTGCCTTCCTTTGGCCAGTCTCAAGGACCCTCTCTAGCACTCAGTGACATTCCGTCCTGTTCGGTCAGTGCCCAAGCTTCACCAGAGATTAAATATTTTTAAATATTACCTCTGGCAAGAACAGACAGCAAAGGAAATGATTTTAACCAAAGCAGAGAAGGATGGCCCAACCAGAGTCAAATGAGGGAGTTTGGCCTTGAAATGGGGAAAACCCATGTTTCACACTAAAGCAGCCTGAACCAGGGCAGAAACAGGCTCTAAGTCCCATGAGGAAGGGTTCCCCTGGCTGAAAAGAGCTGCCATGTTGGATTTGGAACAAATCTCTCAGCACCACCAGCGTTTTATCTGTGGTTTGGCATGCTTCGTGGGGGTCGCAGTGGTGGGGTGGTGGGGAGGGGCCAGGTCAGCACACGAATCCCATGTTCCCAGGCAGAACATCCTCTACACCTTTGTCTCAGAGCTGTTCCCTACATAGCAAAAGGCGATGTCGAACTTGAGGGGTGACAGGAGTTTCGCTATCTCAGTCCACTCAGGGTGAAGTTAGGCAGGGAAGCTTCCCGAGATTGAGTCCGGAGCTGCACTGGGACTCAATGAGAAGGGTACGAGCAGCAGAGGACATTCCAGTGGAAGGGACTGTTGTGAGGAGAATGCGGAGGCAGGGACCACCGCAATTATGCAGAGCAGGCTGGGGGCCGGCAGGGCAGGCTGGGGGCCGGCAGAGCGAGCAGGCTGGGGGCCGGCAGGGCAGGCTGGGGGCCGGCAGAGCGAGCAGGCTGGGGGCCGGCAGAGCAGGCTGGGGGCCGGCAGAGCGAGCAGGCTGGGGGCCGGCAGAGCAGGCTGGGGGCCGGCAGAGCCTGAATGGGAAGCAATGGGTCAGTGGATTAGAGGGAAAATGTCCATCATGGCCTGCAAAAGAAGACACAAGTGGCCTCATTCGTTCTCTCCCTGTGTGCTGCCTGAGCCATTTATGCTAAGTCCGAGGCCAGCTGTGGCACATCTGGGCCAGTTGATGAAAAGTCTGCAGTGGTGGGTGGAGTTGGATGCCATCTAGGAAAGGGGGCTGGGTCACTATAACCTGTCCTGTACTTTTGGATGATTATTTGCACATCGATTGTAAGGTGTTTACTGTCTAAGTGAGCATAAACCCATCAAGAATTTCTCCATCTTTTCCAATGCCTCCGATTTTTGGCATTTCTGCCCTGGCCATTCCTTTACAGACCTCCAATCTGGTGTGTATCCCATTCTTGCTCTGCTCACCCAGAAGTAAGGGCTCTTGAGGATGCGTGAGCAAAGCACACACCTCAGAGAGCATTTGAGTCAGCATTTCCATTTTGTTAATATCCAAATCAGGTCCAGAGAGGGGATGGGCCTTGGTCAAGGTCACATAGCAACTTGGTGGAACAGCAGGGACTGTGAGGAGGGCAGGGAGGTTTTCTCAGCATGGAGGGGAGGGAGCAGAAAAGTAGCTGCAGGCCCCAGTGGCTCTGAGAAAAGGCTGCTTGGGCTCATCAGAGCCTTCTTAAGTGTAATTGACTTTTAGGCATTAAAGTTTTACCAGAATGAGCTCACACAAGGTCTGTAGGGAGTGGGAAAGTGCCTGGCGTTTCCTGCCTCCTGGGCCAGTCAGTGTCTGTGTGGAAAAGCCCTCCTCCTGGCTACAGGATGTGGCCCTCTCCTGGGAGGGAGAAGAGGGGTGAGGTCCTAGGAGATGATGCAGGCTAGGCATCAGAGTGTCCAGTGCCCAGCTGGGCCTCACCAATGCTGGTAGAAAGATGACTGGGGTTTAGACCACCCACCCAACAGCCATCAAGCAGTCAGGCTCTGTGCAGTGAGGGACTACTGCAGGGGTAGGGAAGAGGAGACAGAGAACTCAGTCCCTTCTCATAAGACACAGCCCTCTCCTCTCCTGACCAATCTCACTCACTGGTTTGTCCCTAACTGTCCTGCCATCAACCATGAACCTAGTTTCAATCACTACCAATCTCTAGACATCAGTGTTCTTATCTGTATAATGAGAAGCTGAGCCAGGCAATGTCTTGAGGTTTTCTGAGCGTTGCCCTTCCCTAGTGAGGACGTTATCTTCATTCTTAGGCCGGCGGGTGCCAAGACATAGAGTCTTGCTAAGTGGAGCAGCTGCAGCCCCTCAGTAGACTTCAGAGCTAACTGAAGGATGCTGAGGTTTACCAAGACTTCCATTTAGACCCCCAGACCTCAAGGGCAGCCTTTCTGTTACAAGTTTGTTGAAGTTGGCACACCGTGAACGGCACACGTTAAAGCATACAATTTGATACATTTTTACCTATATTATTCACTTGAGAAGCCATTACCACGATCAAGATAGTAAACACATCATTATCCCCAAAACCTTCCTCCTGCCTCTCCATCCTTCTTTCTTATCAATCCCATCTTCACCTCCAGCTTACCATGGATTTACGTGTCACCACTGTTCAGTTTAGCTTTGCTAGGATTTTAGATATAAATGCAATCATTCGGTATATACTTCTTTCTGTCTAGTTTCTTTCACTCAGCATAATTCTTTTGGAAAATCACTCCTGTCATTGCTATCAACTACCAATATTTCATTCCTTTGTGTTTACTAGGTAGTCTAGCATTGGATGGATATACCACAATTTATTTATCCATTCACCTGTTGCTGGACATTTGGGTTGTTTGCAGTTTGGTCCATTAAACCAAAGTTACTGTTAGTGTTTGTGCACAAGTCTTTGTGTAAGCATATTTTCATTTCTAGTGGGTAAATACTTGGGAGTGGAATGGCTGAGTTGTGTGGTTGGTAGGTGTACGCTTAACTTTACAAGAAATAAGGAAACTGTTTCCCAAAGCGGCTGAGCTTTTTAC